ATTCTGACATTGACATTTGAACTTGTTAAGTGTGGAGCGTTGAAAAATACTTCTAACTAGACTTGCTGAAATATCTTTTTTTTTGAGATTTTTCCTTCGCTTTTTTATATTTTTAAATGTAGCTGAAATATCACAGACAGTGAGAAGAGGAGAGTTTAATACAAAATTAACACAGTATTCAATATATAGACAGTTTTAGATAAAAACAATATGTGTTCTTTCTTTAACGCCATACTTCAAGTTTAATGCAGTATTTGAAATGAAATGTGAAGATAAAAAACGTTAATCATGAAATTCTAAATTCAAAAACTTAGAGAAGGTTAAACAGCAATAAAATGTAAAATGCCATCATTTGTTAGCTTAAATAAGAAGGGAGAAAAGCTGGTTTGCATATTATTACGATACAGATTGAGTTATCTCACTTCTTGGCTTTTCATCATGAAATAAAGAAGGCATAATGTTGCAAAATGAAAGGTCAATCTAATCGCAAATAGATTTATGCACTGTATGTGTTGCATTTTGTTTGCAAAAATAGTGAACAAAATCAAAATTTTTCAAGAGCATTATGAAAATGTAAACAAAATGCTCTCTGTATAAAAATACTTTCCCGGCCAAACCAAAAAGAAAAAAAAAAAGAAAAAAAAGAAAATAATAACAACAACAACAACCCCCAAAATTATATATATATATATATATATATATATATATATATATATATATATATATATATATATATATATATATATATATATATATATATATATATATATATATAAAAGATCAATCAACACATACATATTCTGCAATTAAGCTTCCATAATGTAAATCTGAAAATAATGTCAACACAATAACATAGTTAAATCTTCAATTTTCAGACACCTACAACTTGAAAGATGAAACGCCTGTCTTTTTATTTAATTAAGTAAGTTTTAACGACACTTCAGGCTTCAGGGTATGAAATATAATGTATTTGACGTTTTAATTATGAAATATATGGAGATAACGAACAACATTCAAGCTTAAAGGTCCACTAAACAATACAAATTTTGGAACAGAGCAAACGCAGACCTCTAAAACATCAGTCGTGGGATCAGGTGCCATGGAGGAGTGAGCATCCCCTGCCGACCGGTTACAACCCCGCCGTGTGCTCCTTGTCATGAAAGGGAAATAAAATAAAAAACCCGTCGACAAAATCAGTGTGTAAATAAATGCCTAACAGTTAGTATGAAAATTATTATATAGCATTTTCCGGGCATCATAAAGCATTTTAACCTTTACATATATGAAAGGGTTTTAAGGTAATTAAACTGAATAATGTATTGGAATATATAAGTTACCATTATTACCATACGTTTTTGAATAACATGCGTCTCAATTTAATTTGATCATTTAAGTTTTTTCCTAATATTTTACTAAATTGAACCTTTATTTTCTTGTTTAAAGTGTTGAAAAGGCGTATGTTTTGATGCTATTGATTTTAGTATAATTTTATTATTTCAAATTTTCTTAAAGTTCCTGGGAGTTTTTAAGTATCCATAACTGATTTACACCATTTCTCAAATATATTGTTGTACATCACTCCTGAAGTTTCTCCTTCACTGCTGTAAATATTTTTCGTGAGGCATACAGAGTAAAGAGGTTTGATAAAAAAAAATACTAGAACCACCAATGTATCTTTGTTTATAAAGATTTTTATGAAGTTTGGGAATCCAGTATATGTATGGTAATTCAGATTAATTTGGTTGTTGGAAATGTTAACAATATTTTAAATTGATTTGATCCTCTAAAGTTCCATTACGGAATACACTAGTATTCCAGGGTCATATATGATAAATATTAAAATGTCCAATTTGTACTCATAAAACCATTACCACCATTCTATTATGTTTTCACACACTAGCGAAAAATTTTGCTCCAATTTATCTGCAGCAATCAGCTTTGCATGTACTCAAACAGGTGTTCCTGGAAATTTTGATTCTTGTTTACTAAAACGTAGTGACGTTTTAACGTTATCAGAAGTATGAAAGAAAACTATTTTGTTTAAAGTAAATTTTAACATGAAGACAATAATACAAAATAACATAGTTTTCTGGATCCAGGATAGTTAGATGTTAGACTGTTAAGTATATAAAAAATCTCTACTTGATATGGATAATTAAGAAAATGTCCCTTTACGAAAAATCACGTAGTTGAGCCAATATTGACTTAAAGGTTGAATCAGAGTTCATATCCCTAAATAAAAATGAATAAATCATTAATTGTAGGCAAGCTTTAATGGACATAAGGTTGAGGAATAAACTAATATAGTTTAATTGATATCAAACATAAAAAAAACCTGTCAAAGAGTAAAATCTTTACGAGAATTATTTGCTAACTGTCGTGTAGTTTTACCAGGTTTCGTTTTCGCGATGTTATAATTTTTATCTTGCAAAGTGATCGACGCCCCATTGGTTCTCAATGAAATCATCTTTAATCAGTCACGCAAATGACGGGGTTTTTTGTGTGGGGTTCAACAATTCTTGTTTAACAAAATTTTAATACACAAATTTGTTTTTACTTGAATGTGAACCAAATGTTTTGACATTTAAAATGTAGCATAGCAGAGTAATTATAACAGTCTTCGTTTGAGGGAAGCGCTACAGATATTAGTGCAATTTACATTTGGGGAATTCTACAGGTATAAGTAAAGCCTACGTTTTTCTTTACCGGGTGGGGGTGGGGGGTGGGGGTATTAAAATAGTCTACGTTGAAGAGGTTCTACATTTTTTATAACATTCTACTTTTGGAAAGGGGTTTCATTAATAACTGTATTATTATTGTTATTACAAGGACTGGGTATCTCTTAAGTAAAAAAAAAAGAATAATAAACATCTATAGTGGATACATCTTAGGTCAACGCTACAGAGTAAGCTCAATTTAACTCAGGTAAAATCACGACGAGTGAAATGTTGTGAATTAACTTAATTAAGATTTGACTGTGACATCATATCATTTTACAATAATCATGTAGTAAAGTTAACCACAGTAAGATTTGTAAGAATTACAGTGCAGATATATGATGTGGATTAAAAAGTGTGGATCGAGTTAATCTGAGTTAAGCTGATCGTTAACTTAGCCCTGTGAAGAACTGTCCTTTTTTTCACCTGAACCACTGCGCCTGGGACCTTAAACATGTGTACAAGTTACCCAGGTTTTTTTTTCTTGATTGTTCATTAGATTTTTCACCATGGGACAATTCACACTGGTAAAGTTAATAAAGATCAACTGAACAAATCTTAACTTAACCCAAAATTAATCATATCTATGCTACAATTTTTATTGTGGGTTAGCTTGTCATATGATTATGACGTCACAGTAAGTTCTGTTTTAAGTAAAACCACAGCTAGTATGGTTGTACATAAAGGTATAAATTAACCCATTTTTACTCGAGTTATCCCGGTTGAAGGATGGACAAGCCAAAAGAGTTAGATTTTATTTTGTTTTACATTAATGGAAATATTCACATTATAAGTTGTAATAGACATGATACATTTGATACCTGATAGTCCCAAATACACATACGAGCTTAAGGGAGGGCTCTTTACTTTATGTATAAATTCTGATTTATTCGATACTGTTCTTTAATATTCTATTATTACATATATGCTTGACAGAAATTAACCTTCAAATGTTTTTAAAAGAAAAATAACATCCAAATTAAGTATAAAACTAGTGTTTGAGTTACGAGTCTAGATAGGATGTAAAGGTGGCTCCTGAAATATTCATCAGTAGTTTCAGTGTCATTGCAATGTAAATTCAACATTACAATTTCAAGAGCTTCTCTAACAAGATTTAAAATTTTTATTCAATGTTTATTTACTATAAATACTGAATATGTTTACTAATATGATTACCCATAATAGATTATAATCGGAAAATACATCGACAAGCGTAAAACCAAATCAGATAAGTTTCATAAATTGTTTTTATTTTAATACCATTTTTGTAATAAAACGTACAAAGATAGCTGTAGTTGACATTTATTTGACAAAATAACTTTCGCACAAAAAGATCGTATTTTAAATAAAAGTGATCAAACCCCGAACAAACATATACGTGCATAAATATTCAATAGATTTATTCTAATCAAATTTAGACAATTGTCTTCACATACACGTTGAACGGATAGAAAGAATTCTCACGTGACGTCATTTTTAAATCGTTTATACCAGCTTGTAATCGCTTTGGCTGAACTAATATGTTTGTCAGAAATCCATTCCTCGAATATAAAGTAAGTAAAGATATAGCTCCCATGGCGAAGTGATAAACACAGATTTTCTTCCGTGAATGAATGAACAAGGTACGCTCGGATTTTCTTCCACAAATAAAGATTTACACCATACCCAACCTTGCCATGAATACACGAAAGCAAACATTGATACAGAATTCATTTGATAAACCGTAGACCTATACACTCACTGCAGAACAAACAACATAAGAAAAAGGAAAAGTCCTGTATACAGAGTCTACAAATGATTAAACAGTGGAAGTTTTATTCAGGGTATTAAAGAAATCCTTCTTAGAGCATCCGTAGAGGCTTATAAAAGAATACTAGTAAGATAACCAACTTAATAGACCTCACTAATGTAGACCTCAATCAACGGCAAATAGTCTAATATCTTACTATAATGATGAAATAAAGACCCCCAATCGAGAACAGATTTCCCTCCTATGTCAAATCTCAAGACTGTAGAAAGAGATATAAATGTCACAATCTCAACCCTCTCTTTAAAGACGTGTGTTTGACCTTATCTAGGGCTATGGAACTTTTCCAACATTTAAGTTCGTAAATTTTCACTTATAAACACGAGTCTATTATTAAAAACAACGTAGGTTTATCAAGGCATAATATCTTTTTGACAAAGTTTGCCAAATCTATTGTTATTTGCTCAAATACTTACGAGTTATCTGCCCCTTTTAACAATTTATATTATCGGTAGAAGTACCCGTTAGTAGAGCGATTGACCAACACGGTAAACATTGTATTCAGCCAGACTCCAATGTTTTAATCAATGCTGGAATTTAGCAATTACGGAATTTATTTTTATGCGTTTAATATTTAATAACGTTATGTGAATCTGCATGTTCCACTTTTAATACCCTATTAAACGGGTGTTAAATTACCGTAACTTGTTGCTCATTCTTTCGTGACGAATTACGAGTTAAAGAGATATATAACTTTTTGTCTTTTAGCCTACAGGGGATAATACGGTGCCAAAACAGAGGTTTGCGGACTACGATTTGGGGGTAAGTACAAAAAACGCTCAGGTGAAAGATGATTTGAATTTTTTTCTAGATATAAGATGTGTATTGAATTGATTGGAAATGAGTGAAGCAGACAACGTACATATTGTTTCTAAGGTTTGCACAATAAATTGACTATGGCTTAGATCTATAGATCGTATCTCTAGCCCGTCTGTGTTTATTGTAAAGTATACGATGACAATATGTTCATTGTTTTAAATATAGGGGTTAATATAGATCAGTCAGCAATAATAAATTATTGCATGCAAATTGGAATCGTATAATCCTAGAAACATAATCATTTTACCTTCACATATTTTAAATGGAAATTTATTTCATTATTGATTTAAAGGGAAAATATTGCAGTGTCGGCTTGTCTTCAGAGCATTTTGCAAGCAACTGCATTTTTGTTTGAATTTCAATGTCAATCGATTCTTCAACGTTTTAAAACAATGAAAATGTATGATAATTCTTTATTGATACTGAAATAATGGAAAGTAAAATAATTGCGCATGCGCGTTGCTAAGAATAAAGGTTTTCGGTAAAACATTCGCACACAAACTAACTTAAATATACTAACTTATTTTTAAGACAGCTTAGGAATTTTAATTCGATACATAAATAGGTCAACGTAGACAAAAAAAGTTCTAAAAGAAAAGTTAAAAATTTGCAGTGTAAATATTTGGGATTGATTAGAAGTCAATCGCAGTGGAATTAAATTTCCGAGTGTAACGGATTTACTGTTTTAATGCTGGTATAAAGTACTTTAAGGAACTTTAAAGCTGTACATGTATATACTGCATAAAATATTAATAACAATCTTATCAATAGAAAAGACAGTTACGTATTCATAGGCATTAATGATGATAGCTCCAATGACATGTAAAATAATGACGTCTCCAAGCATATTTTGGCTGTGCATATACCCTATACGGAGCTTCTGTACATTTCCTAATTTTTTTTGCGGTGATCACAGAAATTTGATACGGTGATTCTTATCGCTCAATTTTATATGAAAGACCCTCAATGTAATTAATAAAATATTTATTCAATATAGTATTGGTATTGCATATCTCACGCTTTAATTTCAATCACGGCATCACAAAATATACCGTATATTGCTTCATATAGCAAGGAAACTATCATAAAACAATTTATAGTGTTGCCATGACAAAATTCAAATTAAGGGTCCTCTAAAAGATTAAAACCTTGAACTGCCGGTGAGAGTGTTTGGTCTTCTTTCCTCCATAATGGGAATCTTTATGTCAATATTAGTAACCAAGTGCTGATACCCTTAAAACCATAGGACGAAGAAAGGGTTAAATTTCTCATTGCAATAAACGCCAAGGTGTTGGAAAGATTTTTGAACATAATTGATCTAGAGCCATTTGAGGTATGTATTTCACATCGATCTCGGTCTCTCTTCCGATTCTGGGAAGTTTGTTTTATAGGGGAAAACCTTTTAATTATGTTTAGATAAATCTCTTGCATATGAAACATGATCTTTCAAACTATGTATCTGCTAAAAAAAAAAAAAAAAAAAAAAAAAAAAAAAACCAGATGGGCATTTGATTGTAATTTACGAGAACAAGAAATCGATTATCTTATTATTTATAGAGGGTACACGGAAAAAAAACAATGTTTACACTGAACTTAAGAATCCTTAAATAGTAAATAATCTGGGATCTTACGTAACTAATAGCAGGCAGAGCAGTACAGGTGGCAAAATAACACATATTTTATATTAATCTTCTGCAAAGTAGTGTTCAGGAGAAGTAGATTTCAGTAGAATGGTGATAAGAACCTCAAAATGTTAAAGCGTAACTTTATCTACATTTGGTAGACGACCAAGAACCATGGCTTTAGAATAGTGTTTTGATTTGTGTATTATAAAACCATTCTGTTCACACAAAATAAAACAAATCCACCATAGATATGCATTATTATTAATTTTTTTTTATTTGCAAGGATCAGCTTAAGAAAATCACATGCATTTACCTATGTAACAATGTTCTGATTTTTTCCCCAATTCCTATAAATTTTACCCTTTAAACTGTTTATCCATTTAAAACCCCCTCTTAATTCTCAATCAAATTCTTGTTGTCTACAAAATTATGTCTCAGCATAAGGCAGTCTTCATAATAATGACTTTTAACATTTTTTTTTTAGAATAACAGCTTTGCCTTCTTCTGAAAAAGTAGATTCCCACGAATTCCATTCGATGTCTCTCTCACTTCTTATAGAATTCTCTTATACCTTTCATCTCTATTTATTGGCCCATTTGTTTGTGCAATATTTTACCGCCCACTTTATGATACAATAAATGCCATAATGCTCAGTTAATATAACTTTTTTTTTTCTATTTAGGACCATCATCCAACCATCAGGATGTCATACGTAAGTTCAACAAACTGTTCTATTTTCCTTGATTAATTTACATCAGTTTATTTTATTCCTTAGAAAACTCACATGATAGACAAGAGCTTTTCACTTGTTCATTAAGTTACAATATTTCTACAAGGAATATGTGTTCTCGGTGATGAAAAGAGTAAAATAAATCGAGGCATTTTATATGTAAATTTTGAGTTATAGTAGCAGAGAATAGGTATATAATGTTTGTACATTTAGTGTTGTGATATGATTGCAGCCCATTTCGTTATGGCCCATGACCAGGGTAGGATTTTATATTTTATCCTGACTTCTGTGAAGTCAGGCTAATTAAATCTTATTAACTTTAGTTTTATTTTGTTTCTTTTTAGAGGCTAGCGACAGACATTGTAAATAAATTTATAGAAGTGTATTGGCGATATATTATTTGACTAAAGCTAATTGACGCAGTACTTAGAGTTCAAAATGCATTTTAGCTAGGCATTTAATATACATGTAGTCAATATTTTCTTTTCACGTCAAACAGAACAAGTAGACAAGTGCTTGCAGTTATTTATTCTGGTTTAAATTTTCTGTTCTGTCATTCTCAAGTTTACCGTCATGGCAGAAAGTTGAAAACTAATTGACCTTAAGTCCTAAGCACCAAATCTTAGTAAAAAACGAGGTTTAAATCCTGGCCGTCCAGTGTGTTTAAACATAAAGTTAAGACAGAAAGTTAGGCTTTAATTCTGAGGGTCCGGTTTACTGGGTAAAATAGTAACCTTGAGTCTATTTGTACACGTAATTGAAGTAATTAAATACCACGGTGATCGAAAACTTTACTTCTCAGAGACGTAACTTTATTTATTCAAAAATCGAGAATCCTTTATCCAAGGTTATAATCACGTACGATAATCTCAGATAAAGGTTCGACATAATGTTACAGAATCTTTTTCACTATTGATTTGGCTTTTTATCAAACAAAAAGGTTATTACTTCGACCACGATTCGACTCTGTGGGTATATAGAATCTAACATTGGGATCAACACCTCCCCCAATTTCCCTCAATTTAAACGTAAAACGACAGAGACTATTAAGACCATTCACATGGTTATAATTAGATTTAAATATCCGATACATTCTTTTTAAATATAATCTTTCGTTTTTGTTCCTTTCCTTTGCTCGAGGAATTAGTTAAAGTGTATTTTTTGAGTTGACTTTTCTTTGAATAGGAAATCACTTTCGGTAACCAGTTTGTGTCTACCCAAGTTGTATCTTGTCTATTTAATTTCAGACTTAAATTTCTGTGCAGAATGTCTTAAACCATACATTCAATGGCAAATCATCTTGCAAAACTCCAAATTCATATCTCCTTCAAAAATATAATTTGCAAGATGTTATAAAGATATTACAATTCCTATGAGTTACAATATTTTGATTTCGGAGTGAATGTGATTTAATATTGAATAGATACATGAACGATTTTCAGTTTGGTAGCATTTGGTAATATGTTAATTTGCCGTTAACTCTATAATTGACAGGAAAATACCGTAAAGCCTTGGTCCGGGATGGTAACTAACTTCTACTCTCTTTCTGTATCACATTGTTGTATACCCAAAACTGTCACCTGATCAGGCAGATCTATTTCAAATCTGTTTTTTCATCATATTCACCAAAAAGAGAAAAAAATCCTCTAAATCCCAAAGTTTGTAGTTCTTCATAATCTCAGTTTATTGGTCCTTTTCGCGGAGTATCTTTGAGCTAAAGCTTATTTTCTTAAATATACAGATTTTCTCTCCTGTTTGCCTAATTTCCATAGAGGAATTTGCACTGTATTTGTTTTTTAAAAATTCACAATAGCCTATACATGTATAAGTAACTTTAAAACTGGTACGTTGAAAACTAAAATTTTTGATACAGCACCACTAAGCACGTCAATATGCACTCCATATATTAAATTATACAGTGTTCTTTGTGGAGAAAAGAAAAATGTAAAATTGTACAAATTGGAACTGGATATAAAATGTACTTGTGTTACTTGAGCAAAGAGAAATATAGCATTAGAAGCCTTTGATAGCTCGTAGAAGTCAGCGTGTTGTTTGTGTGTTCGTTCTCTTGTCCACAAATATAAACCTTATCCTTACCTTGTAAAAATGTATATATAATCATCACAGGTAATTAATCTTTGAATGTATATCACATATCATTTAAACTGATTGGTTTAGTATTATGTACTTCATTTATAATCTCACAAGAAAATTGATATGGAGGGAATGCATACTTGAGATAACATGATGTTAAAAATGTAAAAGTTTTATTGGGGGATTAGTAAATTTGTGCAAACAATAAACCCTCATTTTATTTGTGATTTTCCTAGAGTACTTTTTCGATCAAAGCTTATTTTTTCACAAGTAGATTTATGATTTTTAAGTTTTCCCCCTAATGTCAGTCTGATTTCCACAAAAGAACTCTAGTCAATAAGTTTGTTCATCAAGTAAGCATAATTTGAAATCTTATACAATAAAAACTAAAATTGTGTTATCTAGCACTGAATAACACGTCGATGTGTACTACATATAAATGGTTCTTTATAAAAAAAAAAATTAAAAAAAGTACAAATTCGAGCTTGTTCTGAAATGTACATGTGTTGCGTGAGTAAAGAGAAAAAATAGCACTAGAAAAGTTTTTGCTAGTTCCTAGAAATAAGCGTGCTTTTTTTGTTTGTTCTCTTATCCACAAATGTAAAACCTTGTACTTATTTTGTACAAATGTTTATTAATAAGCATCACAGGAAATTGTTCTTTGAACACAAGCAAACATGAAGTTTATCATATATTATATCATTATGTTGTCTCATCACATTGTCTTAACAAGGAAATTCATGTGGAGGGTTTTATATGTGTACTTGAGACAACATGATGCTAAAAAATCCTTGTAGAAAACAATTATTGACGATCTTAATATTTTTCTATACGATGCAATGCAGTTTCAAGAATATTTTCAATTTTTGAATTTAAAATGGAACATTTTTTGCATTGCCTTTCTTATTTATAGAAACAGAATGTGTATTTTTAATCTAAAAATTGATTTAGAAAATAAATGTTCGCCATAACATTGATTTTATTGATAAATACAGATCAAGAAGATAATATAATGTTTAACTAAATGTATGACAAGTTAATTGGGAAAAAATGAAATTATTAAAGGAAAAGTATTTATGAAATGATATAAGAGTTTCACTAAGTGTTTTCTTTGTGTTTTTCCAGTATATGCAACAGTCGACATACAAGCACGACTTTGTGCCTGCTAACGGGGTAAGTTACTATCGCTTAATGGAATGTTGATTTTAATCCTTTGTCTTCCAGTATATGCAACAGACAACGTACACGCATGATTACAACACGGGAGGGGTATGTAACTCTTCATGGCACCGCTTCAATGTTACATGAAAGAGCTGTACAAGACAAAAATTGTCCAAAATTGTAATGAAAATGAGGGGGCAAAAGATACTGTCGCATAGCTCTTTTCATGTTGAAATTAGATAGGGCACGCTTTTGTAGAAAAATAAGCTTCAAATTTTCTTTATTTTCATGTGTGTGTTTTAGTTTCAGTTTGAAGATTGAAGGGCATTTTTGCTTTAAAGTTTCCCCCCCCCCCCAAAAAAAAAAAAAAAAAATTCTTATCTTTGATCCCAGTGAAAGATTCTATCAATTACCAAAAGATTCTTATATAGTCACATTCTGAAGCACATGTGCAATGATGAAATATGGAGATAACGAACAGCATTCAAGCTCAAAGTCCATTAAAACTATACAAATCGGGAGCAGAGCAAACACGGACCTCCAAAAACAGAGGTGGGATCAGGTGCCATGATGATGTTTTAAAAAATCATTTTGATTTATAATCAATTTATGAGATACTTTTTTGAAATCAATCCTATTTTAATTGCGATTTCTCTGTTTATTTGAGTTTTTGACGGATTACTGACATTTTTATATAAACTACTATGGTATGCTGTAGAAATGTTATTGATTGTATTTTCAATGTCGTGGCAAGTTTCAAGTATGAACAATAGTTAGGAGACAACTCTTTAGTTTCAAAAATATTTTCATATCAACTTTCTGTTCGATGAATTTTTTCTAAAACGCGACTTAGTAAGGTTATTACAAGGTTTTCTACACAGAAATCCATATAAAATAAACATTTGATAATTTATCATCTACATATTTATTGAATTTTATATATTAAATCTTAGAGATAAGTTGATAAAGAAATCTGAAACAGTATTCATACATGTTTTTCTATCGATACAGGGTCGGGTATGTATTTCTAGTTCTGTACAGTATACCACTAAACAATAAAGCATTTCCTCAGGTGTGAACACGACATGATATATCTAATAAGGACATTTATGTATTTTGTGACGTTTTAATTGTTTTAAAAGCAATTTTTATTGTTTAGTCATGCTAAAGATTAATATATAAACCGCTAAAACCAATTAACAAAGAAATGGCATGAATCCTTGCTGGAATAAAACCACCAAAACTTCAATCAGAATGACATATTCCTAATTTTGAAGATAATTACTATAGAATCTATTCTGTATCCTTTCTCTGGTTTGAAATCCTTAGTCACGAAATCTCACACAAAGCAGTTATATGTATGCCATATGATCTCTCATTCATTTTATGGACAAGGTACAATATATTAATTTTTGTTCAAAAGATTAAATCATATTGATCAAAGAAATACTTTTATTTGTAAAACCAGGAGATGAAGATGTATAATTGTTATATATTTAATGTTGAACGATATAACTGTTATATATTTAATGTTGAAAGATAGTAAATGGCATCAACAACAGTATTGTATTATATCCAAAAAAATATCTGAAGTAATTAATCAATGTTCATTTACAACCGATAATTGTTATGCAAACAATATGAGAGAATTCAATTATTTTATAGATCTCACCGAGGAACAGACAGACAAACTACCCATACGGAGCAGATGCACCCAAAGCAGATATCGCTCCTCCCTACACCAACTTCCGGCCAAGATTCAGCGACCCTCTTCCTCAGCATATTAGAGATGTAACGAAACTATTCAATTTCTTTTTAATTTTAAATTATTTATTGTTAAAGCCGTCCATGGATGGAGTGCTGAAGACAATGGGGTTAATTTTCTTTTGTATTGAAAGTCTGCTGACGTACGTTTTCAGTTCAATTATTTTGACATAATATTTTTTTAATGCAGTTTCTTGTAGGCCTTTGTTTGAATAGTTCATGGACATAGTTAATAAGGACTTTCATCATACAGTTTCTATTATCCTGCAGAATTTATCTCTTGAAATCTATCATCTTGAAATGTAACGCAATTTTTTTTTAAATTTTCAAAATATTTAGATGCTTGCACATAATGTAAGTGTTTTTAATTTCTTTCAACCGTAAACAACCAAAGAAAGACTTATTCTAAATACCCGTAAATTCTTCAAGAATTTCCTAGTACTATTTGCCACTTGCATCTCTATTAAATTACAATACATAATTGTATATTTATCCTTTGGTCTCTGTGGGAAACTTTCTGATACTAGTAAGGGGGATATCTGGGATAATGGTATCAGCTAATTATCCATTAAATTATCCAAAAATTATCCAATAATTTGAAAAAAGGTAAAGCTGAAATTGAATGTTCAAAATCGTTTCCTAACCAGTAATTTTCTTGAATGATCGAAAGCTCATTTAAAATGAATAGTAGGAAAATAAAAACTAGATGAATAATTATTGAAAGACATATATTCTTTGGATTCTAAATTTCATTTTCACATTGAATATTATAAAAGGCATATATTCTTTAGGATTCTAAATATTATTTTCATCTTATACGAGATGCAAAATCTATTGAAAAGTAAGCTCGTACTGTGAAACATTTTTTTTGTAGCTGGATGGTCAGAGATTTGATGATCAACCCCTGACAGACCGGGTGAGTTTCAAATTACTCAATGTTAAAAGTTATCAATTAAAACACTCGTTTTATACACTGACACTAATTATGTGCCATCTTTCAGCAAAGAGTCAAGAGAGGGGAGGAGTGGATAGGCGGGGTAAGGGTTTTAAACATATCTTTATGTCCAACCTTTTGATTAGCTTTAAGGGAAATAACTCGTATTTAAATTGAATTATTATTTTGTAGAGACGATATGATGAGCCCTTGACAGACAGAGGCGTAAGTTGTTATTGGATTGTTATTGAGCTTATAACTTAAAAACTGGAAATACACAAATGTTTTAAATATATCATTTTACATTTAACCATCTCGATGTGATTTGATTACTAACATAAACATATAACTTGGGAGAAAGATATGACATTTGCACCTGATTTTAGGTTTATATTCCACCAAGAAAGGTATGCTTAGTACCCCTTTTTACTAGTGCATCTTGCGCATGTCTTTCTTTAGTTTGATATTGTAACCTTTTTCTGTATATTTTTTCTAAGTCATTCGTTTTTTTTGATATTTTAATAGCGAATGATATTGTATATAAATCAACAATTATATTTTTGAGATATGAATTAATGAAAATTGATGACAAGGAAACACGAGAGAGGATTATTGACAATATTTAATGGAAATTGTATTCCATAGTACAAAACTTTCCAAATGATGAATTTACTGGCAACTACTTATATGGGCTGATTTTTGACAAACAGAAATATTTTGTTTCATGCCTTGAAAAATTCAATGCTTTTTTGGTCGTTTTAAACATGTGAACTAATTTTTTTAAGCCAAATATTTTAGAATTTATGAGAGTTTAAGGAAACAGCTACATTTGTTAACATTAAGTTGTTTTATAATTTCGATAACTTCTAATATCAATTAAAATACTGATGGATCTCATAACTTTGTTTTATCTTATGAGTAGAACATAAACAAGATATTTTTCCCTAGATCAAGAACATAGTACGATGTTTCATTAACTAAATGTTTACCTCAAATTTCCAGATATAAATATTCTAATTTTGTAGCTGCATGCAAGCTCTAACACATGTAGAAAACAGTTTTTACATTTAATCATACTTTCTTCAGATTTTTTTTGAGTTCGTTTTATTGTAGTTATGTTTTACTGAATATAGGCGTTAAAAGCAAACTAACAACTAAACTACATGACAAATGGGACGACTTCAGTTTTCCATATTTGGTTGTATTCCATTATAACCAACTGCATATGGTGTCTAAGTCTCCCAACTAATTTGCAACAACATGTTCTGTGTAAGATCAAATAAGTTGATGTTACAGGGCTTTAGTATTGTTTTAAGTCAGCATTTTGCAAAGTCTATGGTCGTTGTAATGACAGTATTTACAAATACGGTTGAATTTCGGTCTCTCGAACACCATGGATAAGTTGATGTGGTTTGGAAGATCCACACTCTTTTCCTTTAAGTATTTTAACATCATTGTCTGGAACCTTTTGATATGATGAAGTTTTATATTGGTCCCATTGAGTTCAAGATAACGATGTTAGACTGTATAACCAATCTTTGGGTCGAATTTTGACTGACATAGTTTATACGTATTGTTAGGATATTCTTATATAATTTTAACAACGGATTACTCCGTTTACCTGATCATAACAAGGGCCTAACGGCGGGCATGACTAGACGACAGGGGATGCTCGCTCCTCTTAAGCACCCGATCCTATCTCTGGTATTTCGAGGGGTCGGTGATTTTACCCTGTTCCTGTATTGTATTGCTTATACAACTTGTGAGATTGATAATTTTTTTGTTTTCATTAGTATTCTAAGAATACAATTAGACCATAAACCCTGTATTCCTATAATATTTCACTTTACTAACAGTTTCCCTTTTCTCTGCAGCAATATTATGAAAGAGACCGTGGAAGAGATATCTCACCAAATAGGGTAAATATCACTTATAAAACAAGCTTCTTAATTATTGCTTTCACCTAAGTGGGTAGATATCACTTATTAAAGAAGCTTCTCAACTATTGCTTCTACCTAAGGTGGTAAATATCACTTATTAAACAAGATTTTGAAATATTGCTTTCATCTAAGTGGGTAGATATTACTTATCGAACAAGATTCTCAACTCTTCTCTTACATTCTGAAGAATTTCATACCATTGCTTAATTTGTACAAGTTAGTCGGATTGCCTCATTGCAGAAGACTTCGTTCTCAAAACTTTTCGTAATGTTTGTTTAAGAAAGACACAAAACAAATTACCTACCCAGGAGCGTTTTTATGCATTAAATATGGATAATAGAGGGATGATAGAGCAATGTTTCATTTTCAGAGAGATGATAGAATATATAAACCGGAGGACGGTCGATATTCCTCATTGGATAGGGTATTCAGTGTTTATGTCGCTAATGTCTTAACAAAAGTAGAGTGGCTATCTGTTAATTAACACATACATGTATGTTATTTATTAAAAGAAAAATATCACTTCGTTAATATCTATAAAAATACTGTTCATACTTTGAAATAAACAAGCAGACAATGTAATTATCTTTCAAAATGACATGCACTATTTTAACATAATTATATGTCTAAATATTTTTATGCTTGATCTTTTACGTGACAACTCAATCCCGTTTGTATAGAGTATGGCAGATACTTTTACAGATATAATGTCTGGGACAGACATGTTCCTTGTAGAATTTAAGAAAACGAAGGTTTCATTTTCAGAGAGATGACAGAATGTATAATATACGGGACGATGGTCGATACACATCACTCGATAGGGTACTGTGTTTATGAGCCTATCTGCTACTATCCATAGATTGCTTGATTGCTAACAACAGTTTACATTTTCTCTATCAGTTTCTTCATATTAACAAAAGTTGATATATATTAGTATATGTATTATTTCCTTTACATATTATGTATCAACATTATTGTATTTCTGTAATAAAGCAGAAATAAAAGTCTGGCTTTGCTTGTCACATCAAATGACAATTGAGTCATAAATGCACATTCATTAACTTAAATAAAGATACATAGTAAAACTTTTACAGCACTTAAATATGAACAAAACGCAAAAAGAAAATGCTTTGAAATGATATGTTAATAGGAAATTAAAAAAAAGTATTAGAGGCAATTTTAAGACACTTTTAATTACTTTCATAATATTTTTCCTTTTTTCCAGCAAAATCTGAGGTTGGGGCGACATACTTCTCTAGATAGGGTATATAAAATATATTTCAAATGAAAACATACTTATGTATTTCATACTTATAAGAGCCTCCTAAAATGAGTAAAAAAATTGTAAATTATTATTTGATATGTTATAACATATATACAACAAAAAGCTGAAAATACAGATTTTTACAATTACTTCTGAAGAATACTTTTATACTTTTAGAACACTTTTAAAGATTTATGGTTAAAGTTTTTGACAGAAATATTAATTGATTTATAGAAAAATACATATACTTCATTTTCAAACTTCCAGTATGATTTAATGGATAGGCGGAAAGAAAACCTTAAGCAAGTACGTTATCTGTTCCCTGATTACAATTTAAATTGTTTAAATCTTTACAGTTCAAAATTCCCAAACGAAGAAATGCAAGTATTTAACAGTTCATAATATCAGTTGAATAATAAATTAAAATATTAAATAAGTTAACAAGGGATGTGTTATGGTCAAAAGTGATAAGAAATTTGTAACCAACTAATATAAAAACTGGAACATGTGGAAGTAACATATAAATATCTGCATGCCTGTTGGTTTCAGTACATCTCAGATAGGAGGAGGAATATACTTGATGGAAGGGTATGTGTGGGCGCCTGCTAAATTCTGTGAAATCAAGAAAATTTCGCCACAAAAGATGATTTCACTTTCTGATTATATCTGCCTTTAATTAGCTTTGACATATGTGTGTTTTCCTTTTCATTTTTATGAACTAGAACGCCTATCTAACGATTGGTATTTCAGCTTTTTGTACACTACCTGCTTGATATAACTACATCAGTACCTAGCTGTGTTGCTATTCTTTGTTTCTTGCAAGAACAGTCTCTCTTGACTATGTACTGTTGATGCTTTGTGGTAAAATAACATTTATTGTTTGAATATGTTATAATTTTGTTGTTGATTTTTTTTATTTTTTGCAGTACCAAGACAGAGGAATGAACGGATCCCCAGAACGAGTAAGAAACAGATAGAATTATTTTCTAAAAGATTATTAAACTGAAGGTGTGAATTATCCAACTTATTTAAAAAAAGTTTTAAAGTTTTGAGTCACCTTTTGTTACAGTATTATGACAGAGGCCGTGACTTTGACAGGGGTCGAGGTTATGACAGAGCCAGGGACGGGTCCCCCAGCAAGGTCAGTTGTATTCATGGAGTTACTCTAATCAAACCCTGCACAGAATATATTTGTAACATTTATACTGAGTAAAAAAGGATGTTTTTTTTTTTTACAAATGTAAAAAAAGAGACTCTATAAAAGATTAAAGAAAAATTCCCACGTCACTCAATTTATTGACTATTTAAACATGACGAATAGATTTCTAAAACTAAACATAATGATTTTTAATTGTAAATACATACTAAAATGATTTTGATTCTTTTGCATATATTTGAAAACTTTGCTTTCATTTTCGATTTTGAATTCATTTTGTTTTATTTGAAAAGTTGGCTTTTAAATGATTATACATGTCTCAGTATGATTGAATACATGTGTCTTTGTGTTTACGGTATCCCACAAACCTCTGTCATTTTCTTTTAGCGTCTAAATGTTTAACTTATTAAGAACATACTGGGGATAAGTCGAAAAAATGCCCTTGGTTTGGACAAATAAGGAAGTGAAAATTTAAAATCTATACTTCATATCAAATTCAAAATAAAAACGTTGCATTAGACACTAAATTCTGAAAATCAATTTGATTTTTATACAGTCAAAGCTGTGGAAAATTTCCTCATAAAGTCAATTAACATTTTCAATGTTAAGCATTATTTTGTATCAAATATCTAAAATCGATAATCATAATTCTCATTTTTGATAGCATTTAAGAAACTGTTTAATTAAAGTACACGATGTTTTAATTCCTGATATATTGAATGTGATTAAAATGAATAGTGTTTTAATTTCTGATATATTTTATTAGTATAGGGAATACGATCAGGGTCGGAATGCGTATAATGGTTATAATGATCGGGTATGTATCGTAGACATCCATTAAGTGATCATTATTTCACAATGATTCAACTTTCTGAAGCTTTTTCTCAATTTCATTTATCTGGTAAATAGATTCTTACAAGGTAATGAATTATTTTTGATTATAAAATAAGTCCCACTTTAATTTTGTTGGTAGAAAGAATTTTTAATTCTATTCAGAGAGAGAGAGAGAGAGAGAGAGAGAGAGAGAGAGAGAGAGAGAGAGAGAGCAATAAGAAATAAATAACCATTTTGAGAATCCAGACTTAATTTTGGCGATATATCCATCCATATAGATTTTTAAAATATACTAGGTTTTTCTATATGAATGTATCTTTCTACTCACGGAATCTAACCTTTCGTATACCTGTTAACGTCCCCGTATACGTACGTCTTACCCGTTATTGTCTGTAAATCTCTCTTAACTTTCACATGTGATGTCTTGTGTTTACAGTATTATGATCCATCACGTGACAAATTTAAATATCCAGACTGGGTATGCAAGACAATTTAACACATGTTTCTGTGTTGTATTATTAACATCTTATAAACTTCCATGCATTTATGTGATTAACAATATTCAGTTAATTTTAGATTATATATAATTACATGTCATTGAAGTAGTCACATGTTTTTGTTGCATTTTTAAAAGTTTTATTCATCAATACAATAATATATTTTCAAATTTAAATTCAATGAGTTACATACGCATAATATTTTAGTTTTTGTTTTAGCTTCGGTACAATTTAATGTTCCTTTTGATATGCATAGTTAACATCTGCGTCATTGTATGGATTTAGTTGAATATGAAATTTTTAAACACATACTCGAATTCTAACATGAGAATAACATCACTGAAACATATACTACTATATACTATAAACCTGAGTTAAAACACAGGTGTTGGAAGAATTTTTTACATAGACAATGATTAAGGCTCATTTTTTTATTCTGTAGCGAAACTAAGGGCAAACTATTTATGTATTTTTATTTTCTAGCATTGGGTTCTGACAAAACTATTTATGTATATTTCAATATATTATAGTTACATGAAAATAGTTCATATCTAGGAGAGGATTGTTTCTTATTCTAGTATTTATTTTCATCGCTAGAAAATAAATTGACTGTGATTTATGATCATATAATATAAAAACTTGCAATTTTTTGTTGCTGACATTTGAAGTGTTTTCTACAGTACGAGAAGCCGCTACAGCCCGGGATTGACAGCTACGCGGACCATAAGGTCAGTCTTGGACCACGGAACCTTTTTACTTTTGTTTACTTAAGTTAAAACTGATATTATATATATATATATATATATATATATATATATATATATATATATATATATATATATATATATATATATATATATATATATATATATATATATATATATATATATATATATATATATATATATATATATATATACACACACACACACAATCCAATAAAAAAGTCTCAGTGGTTCGGAATAAAATAAATAAGGAAGAGAAACACGAAAAACCTCAGTAAAGCTTTAAGCCTTTCATTCTATCTTCAGAAGCTTTAGAAAATAAACAACATTAGTAACATAGTAACGTTACACAATAATACGCCGAGTATATATATATATCTATTTTAAAATGTAAGAAACTGCTAAAATGTTTTTTTGGTTTTATTTTTACTAGAAAATGGCCGACAGAACAACGTACAAGGATTACGGAGAGGTGGGATATTTTGTCAATAAAATGATGTTTTTCATTGTAGTCGTATGAAAGCGAAATTTTTCACTTCATTAACTGCATTATTCTACATGTATGTTTCAGTTTCTACAAGAAAAAATCAAAATGGAAGAACTGCGAAAGGTAATGATATTTCACTTTGTTAACCAGAAACGGTTTGATAAATGGCTCTAAAAATTTAACTTGTAATTGTGATATCCTGCATATTTTCTTTAATAATGAACTCAGTGAGAAGATATAATTGCAATAACGTCAAAATATTGTATTTGTATTTCAAAGAACATTATACATACATTTAGAGTAAACCATAAAGATAAAAGCATTTACAGTTATTATCTGTTACTCCATCATACAGCTACACACAAATCCTAGCTCAGTTTCCCACAAGTCTGCTTGTCTTTGTTGATAAGATTTTAAGTTACCTTTCTTTTTCTTTAAATATTCACTGAGATGTTCTAAATGGTCATTTGTAAAGCCCTCGATTTCTGAATTTTTTGTGAAATAAACATAGCCATAATTTCAATATCATTTTCAGCAACCTTTGGAGTATCCTGCAGCTAACCTGGTGAGTATTCCCCACTTTGATCACTACTCCGCATTATAATGAAGATTAACACTATATGCAATTTTTACAAACTGAATCAAGATTTTTTAAAACTCCCATTTCGCATGTACTTACTTACTAGTTATAGTTTTAGTATAAATCACCTTTTTGTATAGGGGATTTTGTACTTTTTGTGGGAGAAGTCTGATTGTTTCTTAAAGAAAAACAGTTCATCAATTGAGGGAGTAATATATTTACAAGGAAAGCACATAAACGGAAAGATTAGGCACAATAACTTATCCAGACACATAAATAAATGAAGGATTATTTAATTTCTCTAGATTCTAGCAATGTGTGCACGATTTAATATATTCGATAAATTCCAACATTTAGGATTCCAACACAAAGGTTTAGATATCAAAGCAGCCTTCGAAAATCGATCGGTCTTTAGCTGAAATAGCAAAGTTGAAGAAAGGTTAACATGGGTTCTTTTGCTTAAAATAACTTTAAAATCGATAATGATTGAAAGAAATATTGCGCTTTTGATTAAACGTCAATACTTCTATCTGTTTGTTTACTGCTGAACATGCGTAGACATCTTTAAAGCTACGAACAATTTAAATGTGCCTCAAAAGTCAACGGCGCTTTAACTTGAATGGAGTGTAGGCAAAGTACCTGTCACTTTACATTAAATTTCATTTAATTTTCACGAGGCCCAGATTTTTCTGAGATCCTGAATCTTGAATGTGTTTGCCTTTGTCGGGGATTGAGTAAGGTATTAATGGATGTCATCATAGTGTGTCTTTTCTCGTGATTCATTGTCAATTTCAAAAGTAGACTCTGCATATTGTTGACACTGTACATTGGATCACATGGCTACCACAGATCCTTTACGATACACAAACAGCAAGCTAGATACGGTGGAAGCGGGTATAGAGGTTGTGAAAGCCAAAGTGGGCCTGGTAGACGAGAAAGTTGGAATTATGGCGGAGGACTGGAAGATGTTTGGTCCGAGAATAAATGCTCTGGAAGATAACATCCATTATCACGACGCAAAGATGGATGAGTTCAATACAAGGGAAGGGATCCACTCTGCTAAGCTTCGAACTCTAGAGGAAGAATTATCAAAACTCAGAGCGCAAAACGGTCGGCTCCAGGATGAGCTACATGTAATGCATAAATCACCTAGGTTTGTCGAAGATGATCGCGAAAAGCGAAAAAATAACGCAACTAATGATAAAAATGATAATGAAAAAAGAAATGTGGATTTTCAGAAGGGTCAGCTGAGCCACAGAGACACCTATCGGGAGCAAATGTACGGGCCGGACAACGAAAATAGATATTACACCAGGGATAACAGGCGGTTCTCAAACATCGACAGGGAGAGGGAATTGGAGGCTCAGATTCGACGGGAGATGGAAAAAATTGAAATGCATGATGGGAATTTCAAACCTTGGGGAAGATATGCGTATCAGAATCCCTCCCATCATCCGGTAAGATTGCATGGGCATTTGCTGTCGTCTGCTTTTTAACAATGACGTCATTATTTCTGTAGCAACCTCATCCCTAGTTCCGTTACCATCTCATTCTTATTATATAGTATAGAGGGGAACATGAATGTCTATGATTTCTCTAATGGACGCCAGTTTGGCTTAATGGATTGGATTTCTGAAGTTTTCCTTATCTAACATTGACAACTAAGGAGGGATTTATATATTCTCTATACATATCATTCGATAAAACTTCAATCGCCCATGGCTACAGGGAAAGTTGAGTGGAATTCTTTGGTTGCCGTAAATCCAGTGTAGACGTTAATGCAAGGAGATTTCCATGGATGATACAGAAGCTAAATATTAGCTAGATCTTAGTTTCGTAATCGCTAGTTGAATTCTTTTTATCTGTACTTAGGACTATAATCGCTGGTTGATTATTTCCCTTTACGTGGTCGTTGTCATAGCATAGGTGTACCTCGTTGAAAGGATCCTTTGAGAAAAATGCATTGAGCAAGCTTACAATACGATTGAACTTTATTTCAGTCCGAAGAAGAATTCTTTGTGTACATTCATTTCCAAATCCGTGTAAAATTCAAATACACAAAGATTTATTAACATAACCGACGGTGAAGCGTTATGGTTCATACATTTTTGATGTTAAAATAAGAGTATTTTGTTGTAGTAATAAAAGCCAGGCACGGAAGTTAACAAAATTTATAAAAAAGCAATTAATTTCTTTAAATCATGCATCTAATTGTAGAAATAAAAAGAGGCTCTTTATATCTTCTTCCCGTTAGGGGACATTAAAGTTGATGATATTCTATGCATTTCATTCATCTGTTTGTATAGAAATCTTTCAAGCTTATATGCAATTATTTATTTTAACCTGGTCTTGGTTTCTTTAGAATTTTTCATCAATACTCCTTTTACAGGTTTCAGTATTGATTTTACGTGGTATCTTTTATGAGATTTAGCTTGATATTGGATCTGTCTATCGATATGCCAGGTAATCGATACGGCTTACATTTGTAGGGACCTAACTATGTAAATGACCGGTACTTACGTCCCGAGGAGCGCCAGGTTTGGTTCTTGTCGTGGGCTTATGTTCTCTACACGTCATCTGTGCATCGTCTCATTTATTTAGACACCATTTTAATATAGCTTAATTTAGAAACCATATATAACCTCCATTTCTCGTTCATGTCACACATCTTCAATATGCTTTGTACAGGTTTGTTTTATGCATATTCATCAGGTGTATAAGCTTCTTGTCTCGAACGCTTACATGTATTTCAAGAAGTACTTCGTTTGATGTTATTGCAATGAAAGTTGGATACACAATTTTTGGATAAATTGCATAAACACGTCTTTTGCTTTAAGAAAACTGAAAGTAAAATCTGATTGTCAATGTGGAGTTGCTGTTATAAAACAGGTTAACGTGGTGTCTTTTACTCTGATAGTTGTTCTGTTTGTAAATTACTAATGTATCAAATGGAAAAATATTTGGAATTTCTGAATTAATAAGTATGATTTTTCAGTTACGGCATCAACTCGACTACGAAAAGTCCCCTGTGACTGACACCAAAACAGAGAGCCAGGTTTGTCAGGAGAGGCTATAGCCTATGTGTTGTCATCAACACAGTTCACTTCAAATCGATACTAGTCACAACTTAGGTCTTACAACGCGTATATTGATATGATTGGAAAAGCAAGGCCTTTCTTTTCACTATAAAAGATATATTTTTTTAATTTTCTCAGGCAGCACGTTTTTTCTTCAGATAATCTTTCTTTTTTTATTTGTTGTTAAGTTATATATTCTTGTTTGAGAACATTTACATGCCTACATACAAAGGAGCAGGTGCCCTAGAGTAACTACGGAATTCAGTATAAATCAAATAAATCTTTATTTAGACAAACTTTATATCATGTTTACTCGTCTCACATTCTCATTTCTTCTATACTCTTTACAAATAAGACATATAAGGTGTATTGACATTGAATTTAATTCTACAAGCGATACAATGTCATATATCAAAATGAGTTCAATAACTACAAAACCGTCATTGTATAGGTTAAATAGAGTTCTCTGTTACCTATTTTACTCTTTAAAAGAGTATATATATATATATATATATATATATATATATATATATATATATATATATATATATATATATATATATATATATTAAATTCACATCTACAACATTTCATCTTGTACAAGGATCTGTACGTTTATTGTACATGTTCTCCTGATATATTTAATAAAACAAACATTTAAATCAATCAAGACAGGTGTTCTAGTTGCTGCATTGCATATAATTGTAGGATGCTAGGCCCCAAACTGAGCCAGCTCTTCCAACTCGGTCTGATTATGAGGTATATAAATGTAATCCAAATTAGTCGTCTGAAGCTTTGGTACTGAAGGAATCTGTGTACCGCTTTTTTGTGTATGGTTCACTACGGTTTTGCACTTGAATTTGAACCTATATTATGTCTTTTCAAGATTTCGTCACATACTACGTATGTATATTTATATTTTTAGCACAGAAGCTATCACTGGGCGTTGGCCAGTTTGGCGTGGATCTGTATAGGAATGGTGTGTGTACAGTATAAATTAACAACATTGTAACTTTATTGATATGTTTTGCAGCCCAAGTCCACCAATAGCGGCGTCTACCTCTTCGTCAGAACTAACAAACTCGCCAAGGCAGACGTTGTTAAAGCGCTGCAAGAGGGACGCTCTGTTCTAGCCAACTCGTATGGACAACTCAAAGGTATCGCCACTAGCAGAGAGGTAAGATTACAATACAACATTATATACTTATAAACATATATATTATAAGTAGCTCTGTGTTTTTGCGAGCACTGCATTCCCTAGTCACAAAAAACGTATTGACTAAGCTCGCTATATTGTTCACCGCGATCTCCGAAAATGCTGCGACATGGTCGAAATCCACGATAAACAGGTTGGTTTTATTCATAAAAATAGCCTCCAACAAATTGGGGTAACAAAATCAGAAATTAATTCTATGATGCGACTGTTTTAAGACTGCTTAAACTCCTACAATGTCGCAGCATTTTCATTCAAAATTTATCGTGTTTTTCGTGTTTTTTTGACCATGTCGTGCTTTTTCGAAAAAAAGGAAGACAGAAAATGGAAAGTGTGAGTAATGAAGTCTATCATAATATTTGTTATGTATTTGTTAAAATATTAAACCACAGATTAAACCAATGCTTCAATTTTTCTTAGATCAGTCTACTAGAGGGTCGCGCCGATGGATGGACACACAAACCATCGACAGAACCCAACAAACTTTGGGATATTGACGATATAGTGATCATTATCTGGTTCCCAACAAGCAAGGAAGCGGAAATGTGGCTTTGCCACGAGAAACACTTTCGGAACGCATCTTTTCCAGAATTCTATGGGTCAGATATCGTTGTCTTGCCGATTAACTGGAACCCAACAAATGGTACTTTTAATCTTATCGTGCATTTGTTTTATTAAAAGGTTAAAAGGTTTATGATAAAATTAGTCCTGTGGCTTTTGTTATCTGTATGCACTTTTTATTCTTCCCGGGAATCAAACAACTATTTATTGAGACCTCTTAAAGGGTTATTAACGGATATTTTTTAGTAAATCAATTCTAAAAAATAGGATTTAATGTTCAAATCACAACCCGTAATCCCAAAGTTCCTGGAGATCACTATATGTCACAGCCTTGTGTTCAGATACATACAAACAGGAGCACTTCACCTTGTTATATTTTTGGCGATAGGAAAAACTGTTCATACTTTGTGTTCAAAATAAAATTAATATTTAATATCAATTTCTTCTGAATTTTTTAGATCGTCATTACCCTACATTCCTAGTAACAGAATACGAAGGAATAGTCGACCCCGATCAATTCAGGGAGAAGTTTGTCACAAACATGAATAACGTTTTGCAAAAACATAAAGCCGAGCGTTTTGTCATCCAGACGGTGGGGATAAAAAATCTCAGAGGAAACTGGTTTAAAAAGAAGAGTGTGGTTACATGCAATAGATTCCCCTCCAGTGAAGCGGCCTACCAGTTCTATAACGACCGTAAGTACAGAAGAAATGAGAGTCACACCAATAATCTGCTCTTGCTTTTCTATGCTATTTCAAATTAACCCGACAAAAACGGGTGTACAACACTTACCAAAATGTTGAGTTACACTATTCCCCTGTTTCTCTTTCAGCTGAATATGAGAACCTGAGAAGATCACTGCGGGACATATCTAAAAATAGAACCACTGTAATGTTCACTCTGACGGAACGTCCGGTGTGATCACGTGACACTGGGATCGATTGTTGCCAAAATACACTCTACAAAGTCTGTGATATTTTTCAAGACACTGGATACCAAACTTTCGCTTGGTAGTTGTTGCGAATGTAACTTCTGATCAGTATTATACAGGAGTAGTCGGCTTTAATCCTCAAATTTTTCTTGTCTTCTACTTTTTGTTACAATGAAAAAAATCATTGTTTAGGAATAAAACAAAACCTAACAATAAATGACGTTTTGAAATAAAACCAAATATATTTCAAATTTATATATCGTAGTTAGAGTATGTACATATATACAACACATACAAAGGGAGGATTCCTCAAAAAGATCTATGGATTGTTTTATCCTGTGTAGTCTTTGGCTACAAATATTTGATACCTAACTCTACTTAACTTGTATACTAATATTCTTCCATCCCCTCATAGAGTTTCAAATTTATATTTGATATTTCATTTCTTGCACTTTTGTAAATTATTTATTTTTCACTATTTATTTGCTGTATGTATTGGGAAGGTATTCTTAAATAAAGGAATAAAGAAAAAGGAGTTTTTGTTTGTTTATAAAGTTATAATCATAAAGTTTATTGATGCCTATCTTTTATAATGTAAAGCGTACCACAACATCTAATCTCTTCGTGCCATTCAATTTACTATAGAATCAGAGAATTCCTTATCATATCAGACCATAACGTTTAATCCTGAATTTCTATTTACAATTGAAAAGAAATTAGCAATAATAATTACTTCATGCTGTATCAAAGAAAAATTATATGTTAGACATAGAGCTATGAAGTAGTGTTCCTCACATAGGAACAATTCAACATCTTTCAACAGTAATTTTTATTGGACAAAAAATCTTCCATTCCTAAAAAAGTACTTTTTTATTGATGTATCATCATATTAAAGAATACTAATTGTGTTTTATAATGAATAAATTTCTAATAATATTTTTCTGTCTTTATTTTACGTGACCGTATCCGCGATGTTGTCAATTTGCGAAAACATAGTTACTTGTTAGTTTAAAAGTTGAATAAATTTTCATCAGTTTATTTGTGTGACATAATTTTTATTACAAATTAGAGTAAATAATTATTCTGGATTGCTTTTTTCCAGCGTTTATAACTTCGTATTTCTTATTCATTTTTTGTAACTTGACTATCTCTTTGATTTCATAATAACTTACCGTATCTCGACTGTTTTGGCCAAATATATCATAGCCTTAAAATCTCATTCCATATATTCATAGAAATCACATCCCATAATAATCACAGCATATGAATATAAAAGATAATCGTAAAATAACTGTATGTAAATCAAAACTTCACATTCTTTTAAATAGTCAAAATCGGAAGTTAGGTGAATAGAAATAATGTTTCTTTTATCTTTAAGTTGGTAAAAAAGTTTCTTTTTGGCAATTATTTGTTGATCTTGTCATTGATCATTTACAGACTTACTTTGTTAAACCCATTCTGATTCTACACAAAATTACTCTGATGATGTTAAAAAGATGCTTGAGTTCTTTATTTACGTTTTGGAGACCAGGTCTTCCAACAATACAATGGCATTCCCATCGGTACTTAATCTGTTCCTATATTAGCAGACTTATTTTGTATTCTTATGAAGCAGAATTAATTCAAAAACTTCCACAAGAAAAGTTGTTTCTTGTCTTGAATTTGACATATAGATATATGGACGACGTTTTATCAACACTGTTAAATTCATTTTCATTCCATACATCTAATTTCACTGAAAATAAGACACCACAGAGCCTGACATATCTGTTTCATATTTGGATGTTTTTCTAGAAAAAGACATTGATGGCAAACGAATATACTTTATGATAAACGTAATGACTTCACTTTGTCTGTCGGCAGCTTCCCTTATTTATGTAATACTATACCCCTTATCACCTGTTTTGGAGTTTGTGTCTCCCGTTTGATTCGATACATAAGATATTCTTCCTTACGCACATTTCAAAAACGAGGCAGTCTACTGACCAATAAGTTGGTTGATGACACAAGAGTTTCAAAAATTTTGTTTAAATCAACATTTCCTAAATTTAATGGTCGATACAACCAGTTGTTAGGTCGATTATTAAGTGACGTTTTTCACACAAATTGTCAGGGCATTATTTTCATACCGAATGTCTACGGATATCTCCGTTCACCCGATCATGACAAAGGGCTCACGGAGGGTTTGACTGGTCGACAGAGGTTGCTTAATCCTTCAGTGGCTCCTGATGTCACCTCTGATGTTTTTAGGGGTCCCTGTTTGCTCTGCTCCAAATCAGTATTGTTTGTATGGACTTTTGAGTATGTTTACCGTTCGTTATCCTCACATTGCATTTAAAACATAAGGATAAAATAGTAAATTTTTTTCTCTGATAAAGTTAAGTTAGAAGTGAGTAGAGGGATATTGAAATTACATGTAAATTACATTTTTGACAAGAAATGTATACGACTGGACTAGCAATGCCTCAGGACACAGAGCAAATTACTCCTTTTGCAAAGAATTAATTTTGTATTTATACAATCAAGGGGGAAAAGAAATAATAAATGATCATGCAGAATAAATGTGCTTCATACTTCCGCACATTTATACCTTCCCTTCATGGTTGTTAAAACTAGTTGTTAAAACTGTTCATGTCAAGTAACAGATAGCCTAAGAACGATATCTCTGATATGCCTTTAGATTCAGTTGCTGGAGGGACACGAGGGTTGGGACATCCATGCTCACATCACGCGCACTGGTGACTACTGGTTAGAGCAATCCCAGGATTCCGCGGAAATCAATGACATCATCATAGTTATCTGGTTCCCGACTTTTAACGATGCGGAGAAATGGGTGATCAGCGAAAAGCACTTCAAAATTTCAAACTACCCGGACCCGTACGGAAGTGATGTTTTAATCCTACCTTTAAATGATAGCCAGCCACAGGGTAAGACTGTTTTATTTTGACTTTTGATTAATACTAAGCAGATCTAGAAGTTTGGAAATTTTTCTGAATTAAAAGTCTTGTCATTTGGGCTTAATAAAGTCATAATAAAACTTCCCTCCTTTCAGACTGTATATATTCGTTTCTTAAAATCATAATTTCTTTCTCTACAGAATTTAATTCTTTGCCTAATTCCCGCAATATTCTTATTTACATGGACACAAAGTCCATAATGTCCACAGTTTCTCAGCTAAAATAACCGACAAACATTTTTCATAGACTTCAAAAGAACACATCTTATTCAACTTTTTTACTTCGGTTAAATTTGACAGAAAGGATAGCTTACACCTACCTAATGACAGAATATCCACGGACAATGGACTCTGATTATTTCCGTGACGTCTTTGCCCCTAGGATCAGGGCTCTCCTTCAGCAGAAGTTCGGGATTAACGAGTTCTTCATCCAGTCTGTCGGTGCCAAGATAATCCGCGGTAGCTGGCTAAAAAATAACAGTATTGTCACCGGTATCCAGTTCCGCAATAGACGGGAGGCCCAGGATTTCTTCTTTGATCGTAAGTTTTGGATTTTTTTAACGATATATTGGTCGAGTCCTCGCATTAGATGTTAACAAATTTAAAGATAGTATTAAAATGCAAATTGAATTTAAGCCTCAATACTCTATTGCCCGTATTCATACCTATGGCTTAGGTAAGCTAGGTTTATCAAGTAAGCCAGAGTCAAGTAAACTGGGTTTAAATCCCACTTGAGCTGAGCTCACGTAAACCTCACTTGTGTTTCACACTGAAAATAAAACTGGTTTTACCTAAACTGCAGTCAATCTCGTCTTTTGACAGCATTTGGTATAATATTAAGCAGAGAAAGAACCAAAGACAGGAAAATGAAAAGACAACATATATCTTTCTAGAAAATCTGTCATTCCTTCATGGAAAATGTTTTACTAGGAGCGTCCTCCTACTTTGAGTAGAGACAATGTTCTCACCATTACTATCAATGAATTAATTCATTCAATATAACAAAGGCCTCCACTTACTCTATGATTAAATTTTCTAAGACAGCAAAAGACACAATTCAAGGGCAGATACAGGAATTTTTCTTCTTTAGGGGCACGGGCATACCCACCCCAAAAAGAAACATCTTCCAAATTAATTCAATATTTTTTAAAGGAATAGAAAGCACCAACACTTATTTTGTCACTTTCATTCTACGTGTACACGTACGCATGGATTCAAATCCCCCTCCCCCCCCCCCCCCCCCCACACACACACAACTTGCCTTTGCAATTACACACAACAGAGAGCGAAGTTGCAAATTGGAGACAATGTAAAATCATCTTTAAATTTCCACCTGGAAATGGCATTGAACATTGATGTAACACACTTCAGTATGTTCATAATATATAAGTAGAACAACATTTTGAGAGAATGTCAAGATCATCATATAAATAGATTTGATCTGTCATGTATAATTTTGAGTTGTCTTTTAATTTTTTCCACCTTCTTCATCTTATCTATCCAGTCCTCCAGTGTTAGAAGAACAGTAAATCAACATTTAAACCTACCCCAGACCAGGTTTAGGCTTAGTTTAATTTGTGAGCTCAGCTCACTTCTGAGAAACAGGTATGAAACGGATTAAAAAAATGTAAGCTGTTCTTAGTGGTAAACCTGGTTTAAACACAGGTGTGAATACGGGCATATATATTCCGAAAACTAAATGGATTGGGTAACGTGCAATGCATATAAACAACATCATCAGAAATTGATCATATTTGTTTGCATTACAATGATGTAGAGCTATAAAAATGTTTATGTTTCTAGATTTTTTGTAATAAAAACATCTTTTGACCATCTCGTCCTGTTTTGGTTATGTAGCGAGATTGGAAATTGTATGGACAAAGTAAAAATTTACTGTCTCTAGACCCACTTTAGAAATTGCATTATGGGTTATGATAAACTAAGAAAATGATCTTATAATTTAGTGGTTGTCTGATAGCTTGTGATATAATTTTACAGCTGAATACAGGCAAATCCGCCAGGACATTTACAGACGGATCGAAAACCTTCCATTTTATACGAACCGGTTCAGACCGGTAAGTTTCCTGTTTACCTTGGATGCTTACGTGTAAATTTCCGGATAACCTAGGATACTTTGTGTAAACCCCCTGTTTACCTTGGATACTTAGTGTAAACTACCTGACATGTACGTGTTACCTAGGAGATTAAGATTTCTTGACTGAATTCTCGACAGCACGATCGTAAAGTGGACTATATTATATAAAGAATAATTCTGCTTTTTAATCTATTCTGAGTCATAATATATTTCCTACACTGCAATTCACCTCCCTGACTAGAGTAGAATAGTGATGCAAACACAACGTAGAATTCATCAGAAATTTCATCCGTCCAGTTTTACAACGTTGTATTTGTTGTATTCCGTAGTGTAGCTGTACACTCATTGGTATAGGGGCGTGTTGTTGGATGGAGAATGGGAACGTTTTTCTCCAGTTTGTCCTTATAGTGCTCATATTAACATAAGCCATGTGGTATCTATACATTTGTTATCAATATTATACAGAAATCAATACTTTGTATTACGTTTTATTAAATATGTTCTGATGTTTCTCGTTTGTTTTATTTCAAATTTTTTTCTTAGAAAAGAAGAATGCAATAGTCACAATTCAATGCAATGCTGTATAATTATGTACTTCTTAAGGGAATTTACAGGGAGTTTATGTATATGAAATATGCATCCATTAAGTAAAAAGAAAGCAACAATTTGATGTGAATAACAATTTATTCAACAACAATTATATAATGCATTCAACTTGGAACATGTGCATAGGCAAAAACCAAACATGAATTATTCAAAAAAGATGCTTAAAAAGAAATAGAAAAACATGTATATGCCACTCTCGAGTTCCATTCTCTAAATATTTGCAAATTGATAAGAAATTTGGAAAATATCTTAGATTCTTTATCATACATCTCTTAATCTAAAGAATGTTTTTTTTCGAATTATCATTTCATTTCCTTATCATTTTTGTCTAAAATTTGAGTGAAATTTTAAAATTTCATATCTAATTAAAACAATATAAGGACAAAAAAGAAAAAGACATGTTTGTGAAACACTGATGCCCCGTATGGGAGCTCAAGGCCAAGGTTAAAATTTTTCAAATGTAGGTCAAACTCTAAGGTCAAGGGTAAAAAAAAATGCTGGTATCCAAAGAAAGGTCTTGTCACAAGGAATGCATAAGTAAAATATCGAAGCCGTAGAACCAATCGCTCGAAAGTTATAGACAAGGTTAAAGTTTTTACATATGTAGGTCAAACTCAAGTCAAGGTCATGAAGATAAAAATGTTGGTACCCCAAGAAAGGTCTTGTCTAAAGGATTACACATGTGATATATGAAAGCCCTACCACCAACAATCAACAGAGATGGCTAGTGGTTAATGTTTTTCAAAAGATCAAAAGGTAAAAAAAGTACCATAAAAAGGTCTGAACATATTGAAAACACATTTGAAATATGAAAGCCTTGGCTTCAACAATTGAAAAGTTATGGGCAAAATTAAAAGTTTTGCGGACAGACAAACAGATTAACAAACAGACAGACAGACAAACGGATTAACAGACCAAAAACTATATGCCCCGAAACTTTGATTACAGGGGCATAAAAAAGGTGAAAAAATTAATTGAATTAGAACGGAACAAAAACAGTAATGCTCAACGCAGTATATAGACAATGCGTGTCGTTAGGATATTGCAATTATATTGAAATTATTTATCCCATCCCTAAAATATATTCAAACTTTGTCCGTGCAAGCTGTTAGAAGTGATTGTTCGAAATATTATTTTACTTTTATATGTTCAACAAAAGCACTGTTTTACAGTTTAAAAAGAAGCAAGTATGGAATCAAATTTTTTCTTTCCGGAATTTCAATTACATAGTTTAAGTTTGCGAGACTCGATGATGTCTGTCATTGAGTTCTGTCCATGTTTGCTTCTCTTCACTAGAAATTTGACGTTTTCGTAAGAGGACAGCTAAAACCAAAACTAGACCAATCACACCAGCGCTAGCCGGAAGTAACGTTGAGAGAAGGGATGAATCTGGATCTCTCTGCTGTCCAGGCTACAAATATAAAGCTTCAGACCTCAATACTTCTACACTCCTCAATGAACGTACAATGAGCGATACAAGCAGTTTTAAATATTAATTTTTAATCATTTACTTAACTCTCCTATGGAATATGATAATATTTCAACAAATATCAAGAAAATAAGAGATTGAAATATTATTAGATAATTTAGAATGGTGATTTACATTTTGAAACGAACTCAATTTCTTCCACGGCTGATGAATAACCAGTTCATTTGCATCTCTTTTTCTTCTTCCTAAAAGTATATTATCAAAATAAACATGATATAATAGATAAATTCATATATGTGAAGAACCGAATAATTATGAAAAAATTATCATAAATAAAACCCATGAAGATATTATAAAGATCTCTTGGAAGCTAGCAAACCTTTATCCAGACTCTGCTTTAGGCATGTTGCCTTTGTGGCATTCTCAAGACGATCATAAAATGGAATGCCTGAATTGCAGGTGCCCTTGACAAGGAACGCAATGTGTATATCCTTCTGGGACGCTATCTGTAAAATGACACGTTCCAACTGAGAATCTTTCGGATCAGCATCAGAGTAGAAAAACAAGCAAGAACCTGGCTTGATTATTTTTAAAGCTGAAAATGTAAACACTTCATAAGTATGTGAGGTTGAAAACTCGGATTTAAAGGAAAATTTCTGAAAAAGCTCGTCTCCTACATTATTGATGTAAAAGCGACAATGTGTACCTTCCAATAAGCCACCGAAGGAATATTCAGGACAGTCTCCTCCCCCTTCTTGCTTTAGATTCCTTATCCAACTAATCATTTCATATCCGTCTGTAGTGTTCCTTATGGTGTTTAAAGACACTAAAATGTAAAATTCGGTCATAATTACTCTATGTCATCTAGGAGTGTCAAATTGAAGAAAATTACAAGAATTATTTAATTATGCCATTTTTCTTTTTTCCAACTTTCCATCACAGCTTGTCTCACCCGGATCACTAAATGTGGACAAGATGAAGTCTGAAGGTGTTGTCTTATTTTCTAGGAGAGCTGACTGGATTGTCTCTGTTACTTTGGTCTTTATTTCCTCAAAGTCAGTCGACATTGATAGTGACGTATCGATGACGTATGCAAGGGACAATCCGGGTTTCAAACAGTCTTTACAAGCCACTGGTAGTCCAATCAGTTCTCCAAATAATCTGGGTCCAATTTGATCAAGAAGACCAGTGACTGGAAAACAGGGCAAAGGGAAAATCCAGTTTTTATTTCAGAGAGACGCAACTTACTAAAGACGAATGTTTGTTAACATGACTAACAAACGATATTCTGTTCGAACAACACACTTTCAGCTAAGGTGGCTATGATGCCGTTGCTACTTGTTTAGTACGATATAGATAATTTTACCTTCCCCGACAAAGAACTTCATCGTTGCGTCTACAGCAGCCTCCCCTGCGGTGTGATGGAGGTAAAAGTGGGGGGACAGGTTGGAGTCTGACGTCTCCTTGTTGATTCCACCAATCGGGTTTACTGCCGAGAAGGCGTCGTTCTTCCCTCCATGGCTACACTTTCCCATTCCTGCTGTATTATTTCCTGATCAAGAAAAAAAATCAATAGTTATGGATTAAAATTGTTTGCAGTATATAATTCATGCAGTCATTTAACTGCATTTCTTCAAAATATATAGAGGATCAGTAAGAGCATTTTGTGAAATTGAAATTCACTCACCGGTAGGTTTTGGAATGCCTTGAGTGCTGAGATAGCCACTCGTAAGGTATTGGCCATTTACCAGTATGTTGTTTTGACAAGAGTGCTTGTCGATTCTGCAAGTGTTTGAACCGTTATTCAGATAAAACGTTTTATGTTATATATATATATATATATATATATATATATATATATATATATATATATATATATATATATATATATATATATATATATATAATGATGAAATTTTTACAGCGATATTCAGAATATGCATGTAGAAAGTTTTCTAATGTCTGATTGCTTACTGTGGATGTGAATAGGGACAACCCGCACATGTCGCCACGTTAGGGGGCGCTGTTGGCATCAGAGTTCGCCCTCGAATCCCTAATGATATAGATAAGTAATACATTTTCATGACATTGATTTAAACTGTAATCTCTTATTATACCATGCACCAACTTCTATATTTTTCATAAAGATACCTCGCACAATTTCCGAAAGTGCTTACCGAGTTCGGAACATGTTAGATTTCCATGTGTCTCCACCCAGTTCGTGTTGGAGTAGAACATCTGTAGAGTAAACAGGTACTCCCCTATCAACTTCCGGATGTTGTTCCAGTCTGGTGTGGGGGACTGGGAAAGGACAATAATTTGTTCTCTCATGGACTGCAGGAGGAGGTTACCTGTGTGTTTGTAAATATAGCCACTGTAAGTTTTTACATGATGTACGTATGTATCTTTTAGCTTACACATGGGTATTTATAAGCATCATTGCGCTCTCAAGGTTGACTGAGTTTAATAAGATTTGGATCGTATTGAATATTTCTTATGCCATACTGAGGTCTGAATGATACTTTTTCAAAGCATGTCACAAACACAATTCATATGAAAAATTTGACAAAGGTAATCTTGTTATCTCATATTTCTTAAATCATTCTGTAGCTGTTAAACATTTATAAGTAACAGCCTCTCTGGATAGGTCAATACTGATCCCAATTAAGCGATCATCGCAAGTCTAATGTACAGCTTAAAAAACAACTTTTTAAGTTACATTTAAAACGTTTCAAGACGTTTTACAATATAGCAGCATGAATCAAAAACCTTAAACTTGTAAATTAATAAAAATTGGCCATATGAAGATAAAAATGTTACTTAAAATCATAGCGTGAATCATCAACAGCTCAATATGACATCAGGGTAAAAACATGTACCTTAATTTGATAATGTGATCTGCACATTTGGACATAGAAAGTTTACTTTGAAATGTGCAAGAAAAACAACTTCGGAATGTAAATAGCTATTCCATGCAGATTTTCTTGTTGTTTGAGGTCAGTCGGGACAGTGTTTGCCTACCTGCAAAAATGAGTTCCGCGTTCATTGTTCTCATGGGTATGTTAGCATACATCTCCTGAGCCTTGTTGTTTCCCCATACTATGGTTTCCACAACCCTCCCAAACACAGCCTCGGATGATCTATCTATAAAGGCAGACAATAAAGGTATGGAGTCAAACCGGAAGTAAACAATTTGTAGAAGAATATTTTGTAAACCAAAATTAGATGTTATTTTGGACAAATATTGATGTTTGATTAATGGATTAAAGACGCATGTAAATTTTGTTGACATTTTAGAGCTATTGACTTAACAAAATTTAATATAATAATCTAAGTATTAAAGGGTCGAAGGTGCTTGACCTTTTAGAAGTGACTTTGAGTTAAGGTCTTTACACTTACATCTTCAGGTAACCTGCAACATCATAATCCATTTTGAATTCATTCAAATCAAGGATTCCAAAATTTTGAGTCGCATGATTTGAATATTTAATTTCCACGTATAATATGCCAGCAGAGCAAATGCTATCCATATAGTCATGTTCAGAAAATAACGTTGGTTATATCTTATATTTGCATTCCATGATGTCAAAAACTACCGTTTTTTGTGCACAGCTGCTTTTCTTAAATTAAATAATAATTGATGAAAATAAATCAGTAGATTTGCCTAATTTAATATACTTAAATACCATATGATTCACATAAAATATTCACAATATTTAATAACTACCATTTTACGTTTCTGTTAAAATGCCGTTGACCAAATTCATGTTGCATGAGATGTTAAGGTAATGAACAGTGATCATGCTCAAAAGCCCATTCTCACAGTACAAATTGTGAGCAGATCAAACTGAAAATAGAGGTCGGATCAGGTGTCATGGAGGAGTAATCACCCTTGTTGACCGATCACATCCGCCGTGTGCTGTTTTCATGATCTGATAAACGGAGAAATCCGTAGGCAATGAGAGTTACGAATCAACTTAACGGCACATTGTATTTGCAAACAAGGTCATTGCAAAAATGATGACAATTGAAGTTGATAATTTTAATGAAATAAATTCTGATTCTAAAAGAAGGAGTTTCGAAAGGAATGCTTTTCTAAAAAAAAAGAAGAAATGAACTCAAAATTGAAACTTGATAAAATTGTTGTTCAAAAAGATTATAATATATTTCAATGCATGTCAATTTTGGAAACCAGGTTTTTGTAGAAAAATATCATTCTCGACCTCTATGTGGCCGCCAGGGTGAAAAACCTTATTGCACATCTACAGCACACCACCTGTCATATTCCAAAAGATGATTAGGCTACTGCGTAAAATGTAAGAGGCGTTCTGGGAACCAGGCTTTTGTAGAAAAAAACGTCATTTTGTACTTCCTTGATAAAACTGAAATTCCAAAACCTTATTGCATATCTGCAGGACACCACCTATCATATTTCAAAAAATTAATTGGTTACTGCTTAAAATAAAAGAGGAGTTTGAGGAAGAAGAAAGCGTTACAGACGGAAGGACAAACGGACCAGGGTAACAACAATATACCCCTACTTTCTTTAGAAAGTGCGCGTATAATTATTAGTTTTCAAGTCATTTCTAGGACACTTTTTGTCACCGACAGGCACCCGTACCAAAACATGTGTCCTTCTGTTTGAATTGGGTGTTAGATTTTATTTGCTTTAATTTTAGTTTTCTTATGACGAGAAAGAAACCCTATACACAAAACAACAAGAAAAAAAAAAAAAAAAGAAAAAAAAAAAAGCAAAATACAATAAAGATAGATCGTGAAACTACAAAGGTGATGAGAATTCTTTTTGAAATATAGCAAGTAAAGAGGACAAAACCAAACTTATAGATATCAAACAGCTTTATAATGTATTTAATAGTGTCTTTCTGTGGTTTGCGGATTCATAAGTTGATAATTTAGAATGGATAATCACATGATAATCGAAAATGAATAAGTCTATTCTCGATACCTAAAGAATTTGAAGCAGTGCTTGTTCGACAGAAATTTATCATATTTTGTGTTCCTAGTTTTCCAAATCGGTTTTTTTAGTCCTAGTAAATTTTGGAGAATTTATGGAACGAGTAAACTATGACCTACCTCCTCTAAAGAATTCGATGGTAGCGTTGACGGCACTTCTGGAGGTCTGCTTGGTGGAACCTGTACCAGCATCAATATATTTCCAAATAAAGGTCGCCGCAGATTCATAGAGGGCGCGTTCAGTGATACTCTGATGGCTGAAGTCTCCGTGTTTAGTACTTTCCTGTGTCGGTAGGAAGCTGAACGCGGACCGAGCCACCAGCACCAGAAAAAGAACCGTCTTCATCGCCATTACACAGTGAGCTCGTGCCAAGGGACAGAAAATATTTGTATATCCACGTCGCCATAATGATTAAATATATCCACAGAAAGATAAGGGTTTTTTGTACATTTGAAGTCAAATTTAGATTAAAGAGACATGTCTGAATGCAGCATTGTTTGGTGACCGATATCGTTGGTTCTGACATTGAATGAAGTATGGACGGGGAGAGAGCGTTCGATTTCTCATTTGTTTTATACCTTATCTCTGTTACCTTATGAAGAAGTATTTATAAGTATTTGATAAAAGTTCATGTAATTAAAGAGATGATTTTATTGCATGTCTAGACAGTTAATCAAAGTGTTTGACATGACCTTCATTGCTGTTCATTTATTCTTAAAAATTTCAATTTGTGCAAGTTCGAGGGTACTAGTATATCATTAAAAACAGTCATTTACAAAGAAGTCGTATCGATAAATGAATACATCCAAAAGACTGCAGCCTAACCATGAAAACCTGGGTTAAACTAGTCTTATCATAATCAAAAGATTAATAATTTCATAATATTAATCATGTTTGTTGCAGAGAAATTGTTTATCACCTCATATTTTTCAAATACTAAGATATTTTTTAATTATACAAATATTGATCTTAATATTTACAGTAAAAAAACACAAACTAAAAATATGTAAATTATTAATCATGAGTTCTCTGAAACAACTTATTTCTTGAAAAAAAAATTCATTACAAGTTGTTGGAAAATCGGAAGCAAGATGAATATGAATGTACCGCGTTCGTTTCACACAGTCACAGAAAAAATGCCAGCAACTTTGGAATACATGTCAAACGATATTTGTTGCAACGATCACATAGCGTTTCTCTAGTTTTCACACTGCAAGTAATGTAAAAGGTAAAGATGACGAACAGTGGTCGATCTCAAAAATCCACAAACACTGAGGGCATCAAACACGGACACCTGGAAATTCCAGAGGTGGGATCAGGTGTTTAGGAGTAAGCATCCCCTGTTGACCGGTCACACCCGCCTTTAACCCTATATAGTGATCAGGTAGACGGAACTATCCGTGGTCAATTTAGCACAAAAAGAAACGCCTAACAATCAGTTTGAAACAAGTCAGCCAAAATACGACCCAATGATAGGTTATATTTGCTAACAAGGTCATTATAACGACCACAGAACTTGCGAAACGCTGACTTTAAACGAGGCTTTTGAAATCCCTGTAACATCTACTTATCGGTTAGTAGCCTGCCTATCTTTAAAAACTGATCGTACTCAGAGCAAGCTCTTGAGTGGCTAATAAGTTGGGAGACTTACATGTAAATACCACAAGCAGGTGATAGTGGAATATTACTACTTAAATAAGGAAAATTGACGATTGAAAAGCTAAAGTAATCTAGTTTGTCATACAATTTATTTCTTAATTGTTAATTGGTAAAATGTCTAAATATGAAACAGATGTGGCAGACTCTATGGTGTCTTTTATCCTAAGTTCACAGGGATATATCGAGTCGACATACCAATGAAAATGACTATTGTTAATTGATTAAACATCGTTGATATTACTGAATGTCGAATTGAAGGCCACAGCTAGTGTCTTCCTCTTCTCGAGTACACGTTTTTGAATAAATTTTGCTTCATAGGAATATAAAAACAGGTCAGCTAATGAAGGAGCACAATTAGTGCCCATCAAAATTCCAACAGTTTGTTGGAAAACTTGGTCTCCGAAGACTACATAAATGTTGTCAATTAGGAACTCCAGTATCCTTTTAATATTAACTTCAGTGTACTTGTGTGTACAGTCAGAGTGGTTTTAAAGAAGTAATTTTGCTGATGACCAATCACAAAATATGAACACTTCCGAGTTCCTTTTTTTTTTATTTAAGAAGCAGTTGTCTATGATATCAAAAAATCTAGATTTTAATTAATAGTTAATACTTTGCAAAGACCAATTATAGGCTAGAGTGTTCCAATAAGCTTAACCTGCTGTCAAATCCCATTTAAGTTCTTTTCTGAGGAAGAGGAAAATGTTTACGTTCTTTTTTTCTTCTCAGAATTCAATAAAAGATCTTTCAAGGAATAAATTAAAAGCGTTAGTCTTAAAGAAAGTCCGATGTGCATCCCGACGCATTATGGGTGCATGTTTTGTCAGCATAGGGATCATAGTAACCTGGGAATAAAATTTAATCTGGACATTCATCCATAATCATTCATGCAAGTATGGTCCAGGTACGGCCTATTGTTATTTCGAAATGGACCTGCACCAAAATATTTAACTTAATCACTAATCTGATAAATGTAGATCGGATCCAGAATCCGAATCAAGTCTGATAGCTTTTATCCCTACATGCAATATTCCAAGCAATTTTGGCACAGATAGGGCTTGTAGTTACTTAGAAATGGATCTGCTCCATAAACTTTTACCTGCTAACTAATCTAGAAAAATGTTGGTCGGATCTAGCATTTAAAGCTTGTTTGGTAGTGTCATTCCCAGATACGTCATCACTGAAAGTTTGGTTACCATAAGGTTTATGGTCACTTTAGAATGAACCTGTAGTGTATATCCCTAGATACATAAAACATACAAGTTTGGTCAAGCTAGGGCACATGGTTACTTGGTAGACCTGCTCTAGAAATTTTTACCTGCTCCAAAAACTTTTAAGCTGGTCCAAAATCATAACCCTCTTAATTCTTATGGAGAATATTGGCTGAAAATGCTGCATTTAAAACCTGAATGGTACAATCATACATACTAAATACATCATCTATACAACTAAGATCAATAAACAAGTAGTGCATGTATGCTTAAAAAACTTTATCCTCGGACACAAAGGCTCACCTAACTTCATCGAGGTGGGCTAAAGAGGCTATAAATATTGTCAACATTATATATTGGGTCTTCAAACAATCTGCTTCCAAATTTACTTAAAATGACAGAATATGCGTACGAATTCTGTATTATCGAAAAGAAATATGTGATTTTGGATAAATTTTATAAACGTTTTTCATTTAAAGATAGTTGTGTCACTAAAAGGAACCACTGAAGTAAAATGTATGAAAGACTTTCAAGGTTTGAAGATTTAAAAGTTTTATATATACAATGTACCTTTTTGTTTTTTTACTTTTTTCTTACCACAAACTTAAAAAACGCCGTCACATCAGTACAAGCTATCACGCCTACAAATATTAATATAACAGAGATGGCAAAACCCCCAAAACATCTGGCACTAGGTCTGATATCATCCACGCTCACTTTGGTCCGTTTCACAGAAGACAACGAAGAAGCTTCTACTTTCAGTTTTGAAATCTTGTGTAGTTTTTCATGCAAACTTTCGTTGGTCTCCTTGCATGTGCACACACATAGTGTAGAAGGCGTAGATTCAGAAATGTCCTCATTGTGTAACGTTGTGTTCTGACTCGTAACAGAAGGAGTGTCTTGTGTAGTAGTTGGGTAGTTTGTTGTAAGTTGACTCGGTACAGAACGAATGCCTTCTGTAGTAATTAAGTAGTCTGTTGTAATTTTACAGTTTGAGTTTGCTGTATCATCATCAAAGTTTTGTCCGTTGGACTTTAAGGAGGTCTGGCTGATGCAGGGGTAAGTTATTGATGATGAGTGAAGTTCTTTTTCCGTGTTTAATATGGAGCTTATGGATTTGACATCAACTGCATTAACTTCAATCTCTGGGTCTTGTGAACTTAGTGTAGGACTTGGAGATATTTCCTTCGTCTAAAATCAGATTTTAATACTGTAGAAGTACATTTTACCGCGTGGTATTAATTTATGCTATAAACACGGTAACAATTTTTTTCGCGGAAATTTGTCCATGAATACTTAAAGTACATTTAAAGCATATGGAGGCAATTTAAGAAATAATTTTCTACCCGCGGATTAAACAGGAATTGTGATTCCGCGGTATTATGACACCGTGGAAAAAAATAAGTTAAAAGTGCTTTAATCTTGACTTCTTCATTTTCAAACAACAGTGGGGGAAAATTCAATAAATTGAGAAACAACCGGATCAGTGTAAGAACAGATGTGTTAATAGTATCTACAACTCTGACATCTCCTGGTATTTCTCACGTCACTAATATCTACCACAGTGACCTCTCTTGGTATTTACCATGTCACTGATATTAAAATTTTTTTGCCCTGAATTCTCCTGGTATTTCCCATTTCACTGATACCTAACACCGTCTTACCTTGACCTCTCTTGATATTTCTTTGTCACTGATATCTACAACCGTATAACTGTGACCTCTCCTGGTATTTATCATGTCCCTGATATCTGCAACCCTTTTACCGTGCCCCTTCTGGTATTTCCCATGTCACTGATATCTACAACCGTTTTACTGTGACCTCTGCTGGTCTTAATCATGTCAATGTGACCTGTACTGGTATTTATCATGTCACTGATATCAACAACCGTTTTACTGTGACCTTTACTGGTATTTCTCATGTCTCTGATATCTACAACTGCCTAACCTTGACCTCTCCTGGTTTATTTCATGACATTGATATCTACAACAAGCTTACCGGTACTATTCACTCTCTTGATATATTTTTTGTAAGCAATACCTAAGAACATTTTTACCTTGATCTTTCCCGATGTTTCTGTTGTAACTATTGGTGATAACCAATATCTCGTACAGCCTTACCGTGACCTTTCCCGATATTTCCGTGGTTACTATTGGTGATGCTATCGGTATTAGACACAAATCATCCTCCGAAAGTCCTTCTGCAAAGTTGTAGTACGCGGAATGATAAAGCAGCCCTATAAAAAGTCATTATACTAGTTAGTGAAAAAACAAATTTTAGTTTACATTCAAAAGATAATAATATTCAGAAGATACAACAGAGGCATTTTTTCCGTTATAAATTACATTAACTCAAGGAGTATGACACTTCTTAGATTTTCACTCATTTTTGCTTCATGAAAAATCGCAGTTGAAAGACTGAAAAAGTGTTTATTACCGACAGTGTCAAACATTGCTCGTCAAGTGGAAACCTCGAAAATTTTCTGTGTAATAGATCCGGGTAGAACGAAAGAATTAAAATTTATGTGTTGAGATTTTAAGCTGTGCTAATATTGCAATAAATAGATATTATGCTCTTCAGCAAGAAATAGATTCTGAG